TGTGATCCTACCGAGATTTGGGCCGTGTACCGCGGGCTCACGGTGGGCCCTCACCGGGCAGCGCTCGCTGCCGGCACGGTGGCCGCGACCCCCAAGTTAGAGGCTCGGTAGCCTTGGTGTGTAGCAACGCCTCCCTGAGGCCTCTCCTAAGAGAGCGACCCGCTCTTCTCGAGGTCACGGTCAGAACCTCTCAACGCCCTAGTCCCCGAAGGTTTCGATGCGTCCGCCTCYCCGAGGTCTCTCCGAAGAGAGCGACCCGCTCTTCTCGAGGTCACGGTCAGAACCTCTCAACGCCCTAGTCCCCGAAGGTTTCGGTGCGTCCGCCTCCCCGAGGCCTCTCCAAAGAGAGCGACCCGCTCTTCTCGAGGTCACGGTCAGAACCTCTCAACGCCCTAATCCCCGAAGGTTTCGGTGCGTCCGAGTCCCAGACTCCAGCCCCGCCTGGCCAGTCCCTTTTAGTCGCCTTTTACGACAAGCAGGGAGTACTGTAGTCGTATTCTGTCCTCGGCCCCGACTACAGGKCCCCACTCCTCGTCTACTCCTGACGCGTGAGCACGCCCCGGGTCAGGACGCGCTCGAGCGTGACCCGCCTCTTGTGCCGCTYTACTCCGTGCGTGCTCACCCGGGTCACCCCGAGTCTATGCACATACACCACCTGGTGTGGCTGCGTCCTGACCCAAGTCCATTTTCTGGACATCATCTATCTGACCTGCCTTCTAGACTCTTCCGCGCGAATTTTCTAAGCGCTTCGTACGTGCGTCTTGTCTTCAGGAACGCACCGTCCTGAGGTGGCCACTCTTCATCTTCTTCGCTCATGGTCCTGATGAGATCTATTCTATGTGTCTCTGTCCTGCGACATTGTAGTAAAACATGTGCAACTGTTTCCGAGCCTCCAGCCGAGCACTTACAGTTTGGGCTGCTAACTAGTTTAAATCTGTGGAGCTGTGCCAGGAAGTCGCCATGGCCAGTTAGCATTTGGGACGTATAGTAATCTAGCTCCAGGGGTAGTGTGTACCTTCTTCTGACATCAGGAATCATTTTCTTTGTCCATGCACCCTTTTCTTCATTGTCGTATCTTTCCTGCCATTCTTCCATTAAACTACTAAGTTTACGCTCGTATTCAATCTTGGTTATGTTTCCTCTCTTAAGGCTAACCCCGAGGGCACATTTTNCAACGATGAAGAAAGTCGAAATACAAGTGACATTATCCCTACCGATTAAAATTTGAAAACTTATACTTCTGGATCATGTCAGAAGCCGAGATATGTATAAGAGCGTCAAAACAGGAAAGTTCAAAGGTCGAAACAAAAAATTTAATCGATTGGGGTCATAGCAGCGAAGAAAAAACACAAAAAAAACAGTACTAAATCAATAGTCAGATTGGCTCCATTGAATATTCCCGTTTTTTCAGGAAAATATGACGAATGGATGTCATTTAAGGATATTTATACGACTGTAATACATACTAACGAGGACTTGACAGCCATAGAAAAATTTTTTTATTTAAGGTCATCTCTGTCTAATGACGCAGCAAAAGTTGTATAAAATATTTGGAAACTAGCGCAACAAATTATGATACAGCTTAGAAAAGTGTGATCAATCGATACGAAAAATTTTGATACAGACGCACGTAAAAAATATTGTAGATTTGCCTTCAATAAACGAGAGCAACTCGACAAAATTACGTCAATTTTCTGACGATCTCGTTAGCAATATGAAAGCTCTAGAAACGCTTGGACAGAAACCGAAAGAGTGGGGCCCGCTGTTGTTGCATAATATACTGTGTTCAAAATTAAACAACGAGACATTGAAAGAGTGGGAGATTAAATCGGTCAAGGACAAAATACCGTCCGTTACGAAATTAATCCAGTTCATAGAGGATTGGTTCCAAATATCCGAATCCATTGAATCGTCTAAATATATAAATACAGAGTCTGCAGCAAAGGAAAAAGGTCTTACAAAGTTTAGTAAAAATAATAAATACAAAGCCRCAACAAGTTCAACGGCATTTACATCGACAGCTACGGCTGTATGTTATGCGTGTAATCAGCCGCACACTATTTATAAATGTCCAGTATTTACTGCTTTATGGACACGTGATCGTCATGACAAGGTAGTCCAACTAGAGCTTTGCAAAATTTGTTTACGCAAACACAGTGGTAGTAAATGTTTTGGTAAATATTGTTTTAAATGTAATAAACCACATAATACGATGTTACATTTAAACCAAAAACATAATATCAACGAACCAGTTTCAAACACAGATAAAGGTGAACAGACGGCGACGACAACACATGTYGCTAATGAGACCGATAACGTGTTGCTAGGTACCTCGGTAGTAGAAGTATTCGGCCTAAACGGCGAAAAGATTTACGCCCGGGCATTGCTCGACTTGGGGTCGACTAATCATTTCATTTGTTCGGAGTTGGTAAACAGTTTAAGATTAAATAAACATAAGACCAACCATATTGTTTACGGCATCGGGAATTCAAAACAGAACGTGACTGCCACGGTATCGTTAAGAATCAAATCGCGTGTGAGTGATTATGAAATAAACACGCAATTATTAATTGTTCCAAAAATCACGGGAGATTTACCCGCGCGAAGAGTGTCCAAAGGTAAAGTGAAACTCGAAAGGATTACACTGGCGGATCCGTCATATAACGTTCCGCAAAAAATTGACATATTAATTGGAGCACGTCATTTTTATGACATTGTGGGTGCTCAGCAGTATAAACCGGATTCAAATGACCCTGTATATCGAGAGTCTAAATTTGGATATATTATTTCTGGTTTAACATCAAACGACACAAACATAAAAAACACGATTTCCTGTTATACATCAAACAGTCACGAAAATATTCATGAAAACAAATATGAGTCTTTAGAAAATGTAATACAACAGTTTTGGCGCATCGAGGATTACGGYAAAAGCAAACCTTACACGATGGAAGAGCAAACTTTCAAGCAAAACGTTAGTCGTATCGAGAGCGGTCGATTTGTTGTACATCTGCCGTTCCGCGGAAACGTCTCAAAATTAGGCAAGTCCTTCGACATCGCAAAAAGAAGATTATTCGCAATAGAAAGGCGATTTATAAAAAATCCCTCGCTGAAAGGGGATTACGTAAAGTTTATGACCGAATATGAAAAATTAAACCATATGACACAGAATATGGACAACGAAGAAATCGAATTGCCCGGTCGTATGTGCCATCTAGCTCACCATTGCGTACAAAATGAAAAAAGCCTCACAACAAAATTACGCGTAGTATTTGATGCCTCAACAAAAACAGAAAGTGGGGTTAGTTTAAACGAAGTACTGCAAAAAGGACCGTCAATACAAGAGGAATTAATTCACATATTAGCCAGATTTTGCACTCACAATTTTGTGGTAACTGCCGATATAAAAAAAATGTACTGACAGAGGGCGTAACCGTTTTCCGCCAAATTGACCCTAGCCCGTTATCACCATGGCCGTTTTCCGCCAAAGGTTATATTTCCGATTTCCGCCAAAAAAAAATAAAAAATTATTATTGAGAACCCCTGAACTGAATCCATCAGCCAGTTATGATTACGATGTGCTCAGTACATCTACTAAGTTTGTCAAAAAAATCTCTTTTCCAGATAGTAAATAATTTGTATAA